GTGTTGGAAGAAGGAAACATCTAAAACTTGCAGGATTGCGGCCCTCGAGGACCGGAGTTCGAGACCCCTGACTTAGAATGAACAACAATTAAATGAGAAAATATCAGCAAATTCCACTAAACTCCTGCAGTAGAACTTACAGATTGGTGGGTTGATTACCTTAAGATAAGAAATAAGATAAAACTATTTTAATCTCGAAGGAAATTTGTGGGCCAGATATTGCTCTGAAAAACAAAAAAATACATGATATTAGAGTAAATTCAGGGGGAGTAGAGTAATATTGAATATGAGAAAGAAATATTGCAAATTCAATTGAAAGACAGATAATAAAGAAAGTGAATTATTCCAAATGAAACTTGATAAAGATGTATTGCACCCAAAAAAATAAATATTGCACATTACATTGACATGTTGTACATATAAATTAAACATTGCACATAAAAATATCTTGTAACGTGTTATTTTTTTTTTTTTTGTTCTTTTTGTTGTTGTTTTTTAAAAACTTTTTGGGGGGTTACTTTTTTGGGTACATTTTCCAAAATAAATATCAAATTAACACATGATATATTACAAATGTATCAATAATGAAGTTAACAAATGAATTCCTGCCCCAGAAAGGCAACAGACTCAGTGTCCTTGGGTACAAAGTAGTTTTTTTGTTTGTTTGCTTTTTCTGTTAGTATACTCTACATCAGCATACTGAAAAGTTATGTCATTCCCGCTCATCGCCGCTGGGGGCGCTGTGTTCTGTCAAAGCTCTTCACTCTTCTTCGGGAACTTCAACAGTCGTCTTTGACTTTCAACATGGCTGCCTTCAGTCAACCTGTGTAGTGCTGAGCAGTGCAGTGTTCAGTCTTCGAGCCTTGGCGTAATATAATTATTTTCTCCAGAGAGCTCCGTAGACGCACAGGTTTGACCGGATATGTCGGATAAGGAGGCCGGCAAAGGGAAGGAGAGCGGCGGGGAGAAAGGCTTCAGGACGCCCGGGCTGAGGGGAGCACAGACCACCACACTGTTCCGAGCTGTCAACCCAGAACTCTTCATCAAACCTGTGAGACTGACAGGCTCTCTATTATAGCTGCTTACTAAACGAAAAAAATAAACACGTTCCTGCTTCCAAAAAAATGTACATATCAGTTAACCTTTACATATAGTTTAACGAAGAACATATGAGTCACTTTGCCAGTGTTTTTAAATGATAAACTTAACTTTTGCGCCAATTTGTAATGCGCCATGTTCCTTATTTTTACGGTCTTATGCAAACTGAATGTAAATACACCTCTCCTCTTTAAGGCATGCATCACATTCTAATAATTTAAGTATGGCTAACCTTTAAGAGCTAACAGAGTGTAACATCTGTCTTCATCTCGGGCAGAGCTGTACAGTGTGGGCCCCTTTGTTCTTATTAAATTATTATTATTATTACAGCCACTTCTCAATAACACTGCATTAGCTGAGACTCTCATATGTTTAACATGCCACATACTGTCTCCCTTGTTGTTTGAATAGATCTAAGTAACGAATGCACCATTAATTAAATGTTAATCATGATTTTGGCTTCCGACAATTAAATGAGCATGATCAACTGCATTGTTGATACTTAAAATAGTGAAGCATCAGTAGGGGATTCGTTTTCCAACCAAATAAAAATGCAGCCACTTTTCTCTAGTGATTTGGGTGCTGTGCCTCACTGACTGATGGGTGACAAATCAAAGGAAAAACCTGAACCCGCAGTGAGGGGATCTGGTTGCTCTTTTATAATGTGGGGGGTCATTTGCCAAGATTTGGATCCACTTTGTTACTATAAAAATTATGTGAATTAAAAGCTCTGACCTTCACAGTAGCCAGATTGAAAACCCTCTTAAACAACCTATGGGAGATGTCAGCAATTTAGACATCACTCTCCACTACCACCTTCATCAAATACCAAATGAGAGCAGAATGATGTTGCATCTCTCTAGTAGAGAGTTATGCGAGTTAGCGACACTTCTGCAGCAGATCTTTACATGTTAACCAGCCTATCTTTTGTAACCCTTCAAAACCTGGCCATTTTTAGTCTTTTTTTTAACGTACAAAATCCCAGTAGTCCCATGTAGTTTTTTTTTTTTTGCTTTTTGTTTTTTTTAAGAAATACTACAGCCAGACCATTGCATAGTATATTTAAATGTCGATTGCTCGCATCTTACCTACTTACTTTAACATAAAGCTGTGTTGTTTTGCAGAATAAACCAGTGATGGCGTTTGGACTGGTGACCATCACTTTGTGTGTGGGCTACCTGGGCTACATGCACGCAATGAAAGAAAACGACCAGCAGCTTTACGAGGCCGTCGACAGTGAAGGAGAAAGATACATGAGGAGGAAGACTTCCAAATGGGACTGAGCATGTGTTTATGTACTCTAAGGACAGAGTGAATTAAAACCTGACTGGACTGAAAATAGGATATCTGTCATGCTCTCTTTACATGCATCCACTGAACTCAGTTTTAAATGTATTTGCTAATGTTTCTCCAGTCTGTAAATACGGTTGCATTTATACAAAATGACCAAACACTACGAATTGAAGACAGACAGCATGCTTACTTTGATGAACAAAAATCAAGTCAGGGTTACTGTCTTTGGCTTCAGGACATCAACTTAGCTCTGGGGACTTGTAATTGTTTTGTTGTTGTTTTTTTCCACCATTAACAATAGACAATAGAATTAGCAACATTTGCAGCCCTAATTTATTTGAGACCTCACAACTCCAGTAGTGCTCAGCTTGGCCTCAGCCCGAACAGAGAGTATCTGAAAACAGCTGTGATAGAAACATTTCTGTCAAAGCTTGAATGAAAATGAAACAAAAATAGATCATATCACTTAATATGAATGTATTTTGTGTATGACACCATTTTTTCTAAAAATTCATAAATATGTTCACTCAATCTACTCATGTAGGACAAGCTGTATTATACAGTAGTGTCTTTGCTAAAATTTTTAAAAGACAAAAATATTGAGACCTTATAGCACAATTTTGACTTTTTTGAACAAAAAAAGAACAAAACAGAAAGCAATGTAATTAAATACGACTACAAATGAAATTAGCTTTCTGCTAAATCTGGTGCATACAGCTTTTCTTTTTTTGACTAGTGTACACAAGGTTATTTTGAACTAAAATTAATATTTACAATAATAATAGTAGTAATTAATAGCAGTTATTTCAATTAAAATAGGTTGTTTACACCTGGAGCCACAGTGCCACAGCCTGGCCTACTACATCACATGCCATAAATATCACTCAAAGGTGATGATTTCTTATGGGTAAACAGAAAAGATCGCTGGCCCTTTGACACAAATAAAATGTGTTTATTTAGAACTAAGTAGGCTACAATATTTTTGAATTAAGTATAGAATTCAAAAGACTAGTAAAGTAAATGACCATACACCAATCTTCAAACTATGTACCTTAAAACGCAAAAGTTTAAAAGTTTTATTTTAGAAAAAAAGTCAGACAAATGAAACAGCCAGCAACAGCTTTTATTGTTTTATTGCCAATAAAGTACCACACATGGTTACACAGGAGCATTTAATGTCCGGCCAGCTACAGCCTCTTCAAAAAGTCCTCGGACTCCAGAGCTCTTTGTAGTTGTTGTTTTATTTTCTTTTTTGCCTCCTTGCTCATGTTTTTTGCCATGTAATGAGCCAACAGCTGTTTGTCACTGATGAGACAAAATGGAAGAAAATAGCAATTAGTAACAGGAAATTCCCACTGAGAGGTTGTCATAAACAATGTACAAACAATACATATAGGTATTAGTACATTCCTTATGTTTATACCATGGTCTGGGTGAATACTCGATTCTGATTGGCTGCAGGGTGTCCATTAACAAGTGTTATACCATGGTCTGGGTGAATACTCGATTCTGATTGGCTGCAGGGTGTCCATTAACAAGTGATAAAGGACACCTATAAAGAAGTTCCGGTCAAATAACCTGATTGTTCTAAATTAATGCGCTGACTCAAAC